GGAGTGTGGTCATGCCACCATTCCTCCTCTTCCATTTCTCAATTCTGTTGGGATTTTGAGCACATGTGCCCATGTGCCCATGTTTTCTAAGTCTCTAGGCCTGGGATTCCAACCATAGTTGTCTGTGCAGGATCTGCCTCCCTTAACCACTAGGCTATGGGGTCAGACTGTAATCTATTGTTTTATTTTTAGGATTTTGCTATAGGATGCATGCACTTGTCAGAGATACCGAGAGAGATGGAGAGAGGGAAAGTGAGAATCACTCCCAGGGAAGATGACCATGTTGCAATCCCTTCTCAATTATCTTCTCAGGATTTTGGGCAGGTACATACATGTGGCTGCTGTGATTTTCAAGCTACTGGGTCTGGGACTTGAACTGTGGTAGCCATGTGGGAATGCAGCACCTTCACCACCAGTCTTTCTGATTAAATTAAAGAAAGAATAACTCCGGTTAACTTTGAATCTAGAGGAAATTGTACTGATACCTGTGACATTGTGATATCTATTTTTGTCTTTGTGCTGGTCCCTGACATACAGTTTCTGAACCTTGGAATCTCTGGAATGAAAAGAGTGTCTTTGGCATCCTGAGATGACTGGTGGCTGGAGGCCCCCACATAACTTCCGGAGGGGGCTGGTCACTAAACTCTTGGGAGAGAAGTGGGACTGCTGGTTAAACGGACCACCAATATGATTTAATCAATCATGAAGCCCTTCCCCGCAGCCAGGGTTCAGGGCGCGTCTGGATAACTGCACATGTGAGAACCTGAGAAGCATGGATGCTCTGTGCTCCTTCTCCCATGTCAAACCCTGTGTGTCTCTGCTGTCTGGCTGTTTATCTGTATCATCTTAAGTATTATTTTTAACAAATAGGTACATTTAAGTGAGGTGTTTCCATGAACTTGGCAAGCCACTTAGCAAAATCATTGACCCCAGTGTGAGGACGGAGGGCATTCTGATGGGACAAGCCCTCAAGCTGTGGAATCTGAGGCCAGCTCCAGGTAGACAGTGTCAGAACTGGTTGGAATTAGAGGACACCCCGCTCATGTCCCCTGCAGGATCCTCTGCAGAACTGCTTGGTATGTGGGGTGGCAGAAGGGTTCCTTGTCAATTGCTGAGTGTAGTAGGGAAAACTGATTCTTTCCTCTATCCTTATAATGCCATTATTTAGTCTTTTGGTCCCCTAGATGTTTATTTACTCAACTGATTCCTTTCAGTATTTATAGAATGTCTATATCTATATAGGGTCTGGAGGTATCCAGAGAAGCCACGGTAAAGGAGCTCCCAGTCTCTTAAGAAAAATAAGATGTTTTGTGAATCTAAATATCGGAAAGAAAAATACATGATATAACAGGACAGCAAAGGAGTCATTGAGGTTAAGAGAAGGGAGAGATGATGTGTGTTGGGTGTGAGGAAAGTGATGGGTTTTTCATGTGAGAATGAGAGGGCCTGGCATATAGCAGGTGCCGAGTACGTACTCATTAGTGAGTAAGTGGATGGAATGAGACGCACTACCCACTGCCATGTCTATGTGAAGCGTGATGTGCTTTTCCATGTAATGGAGACCACAGGGCAATGAGCACCTCAGGAGGAGGTTTTCCTTGGTAGACAGCAAGAGAAATCATTAGAAACCATAACAGGGGGCCAGCAGGTGGTGTGGTGGTTGAGGCGCTGGCCTTGGTTGGCCATGGTTCAACTCCTTAACCTGGTGGCTTGCTTTCTCACTCTCTCTTTCTCTTTCTCTGTCTCTCTGTGGTTAAAATTGAAGAATAATGATAATAAATAAAATGAAAAATAAATCTTTCAAAAAGAAAGAAACCATAACAAAACATCATACAAGGTACAAATACACAAGACAGTAACTGTTTTGTTTGCCTTGTGCTATGGTTTGAATGTGCAACCCCCCATAATTCATGTGCGAAATGGTTGCGATGGGATTAAGAGTGAAAACTCAATCTGACATTGGCATTGAGGGGTGGAGTCTTTGGGAGGTGATTTAGGGTTAAGATCATC